ATAACGCTGCTTTTCATAATGCGAAGTCACGACAAAATACAAATTCAGTGCAAATTCGACGTCAAATAACACTAAAATCGAAAGATGAGACATTCAAGAAATGTTTAGAAGAGAGAAAGAGAAAAGATAATAAAGTCGTTTCTATTTTTATATTCCTAAACGACGCGCGCGCGCGCGCGCGCGAGAGAGAGAGAGAGAGAGAGAGAAAGAAAGACTAATATACATTATATTTAATTCTTGAATGAATTATTTTAGCCATCAAAACATGGGAAACATTAATAAATTTTGTTTATCTTCAAATATTTTTACTTTATACTTTTATTTGATTTATTTCTAAAACGTGTTAAACTTCACGATCCGAGACCTTTGTATAATAAATTTTATTTAGGAAAAAATAAGTTTTTGTACATATCCCCACTTCTCACGATATTAAATACATATCACGAAGCGGCTTCTTCGCATTCTTACCCTTACCCTCATCTTCGAGCAAATGGCAGAAATTCATTTCGCCTTCTCGTAAAGTCAAGAGTACATTACGAAAGCCGACAAAAAAGGAAGGGAGAATTTCTACGTCCGGTCGAGGAAATACCGCGGGAAATCTCATACAGTTATACGTGGCGTTATCTATGATTCAATAGAGTACATATACGAAAAGAGTTCGAAGAAAGCAAGCGTCTGACCACTAGTGGTTTCCTTCTGCGGGCGAGCGAAACGGAAGTGAGACCGTGCAAGACCATCGTCTGTGACGAGCTTTTGCACCAAACCTTTGTTCCCGCGCTTGCGAAAACTTTTGACTCAATCTCTCATAGCGCATTCAGGAAAAGCTCCTTTTTCCTCTAGTTCGTACCTCGCCGGCGACACCTCGTGGATTGCTTCCTTCGCGAAGCACTTCCGCGCCGGTGAGAAACTTGTAAAACGTGACAAAGTCCTCACAGGGCTCAGGGTGTTCTGCTTCACGCTACGAAAATATCCGGGTAACGAGGAGGACTTTTACTGAGTAATGTAATGTGTGATGTGACTATTTATTACGGTAATAAAAATCTATAATTTTATATTCAGTATGTACGTGTTTTTATGTACAAAAAATTAACTGCCAAAAGTGTATCTTTCTATTTGTATTTCTAATAGTTCATGTATTTTTATTTATTATAGTTCTAATCTATTATAATTTGTTTATTAATTCAGTACAAATAAATTTGTCTATTATCCGCACTTTGTATTTATATCAATTCTACCATCAACTTCCTTATTTTGTATATTAAGATTACATCACATAACGTCCTCTTTGAAGAAAATTTTACTCGATGTTTATAGTGTACGTTACGTGTACTATATATTTCGAGTAAAATTTTCCTCGGAGAGGGCGTTTTGGAATGTAGCCTAAATATTTACAAGTGGGATTCAAATTAAAAGTTGAAGCAATTTCATGCATGTAATGGAGTCGCTTTCGAGAAACAACTTCGATTCGCTGTTATCGATCCGCTACTACACGCGAACCTTCAGTTTGTCAATGTAACTGTACATCAATCATAGTCAGAAAGTTTGAGTCTGTTCGATGGATTCATAGGAAACCGAAAATTCACGCTCTCGAGAACATGATAGAGGAGAAGGTCGGTTCAGTCTTCATACATAGCTCATTTTTTTCATTCTGGGAAAGTTAATCATGGTTAATTAGGTTAGTTATCAAATTATCACAACGAGATGAATAATTCTCAATTTACCACAAATGAAAAATGTTTCATTAAAATTATAAAATTAAATTACAGTTAAAATAAAATAACTAAAATAAGGTTATCTAATAATTACTAGCACGTATAATAATATTTAGCTCATGTACGTCCTAACCAAGTGTCTATTTTTAATAAATATAGTCGTATATAACAACCTGGTGTCCAGTATGTGACAACCAAGTAAGCGTCGAGGAAAAAGACACATATAGACTTCTCACATATATCCGTAAATATCATCCCGAGATCGCTGCCAAATGTTTGAACAATCAGGTATAAATGTTTGCTTTTTCCAGGAATATTTTTCAATTCCTCTGTATCAAGTAAACGTAAAATATAGCAATAAAGATGTCTGAAAATGTTGATACGATTTTATCAACACACGTCAAAAGTGAAAAATGTTATTTAAAAATATTATTAATCTTTTATATATATTGTATATACTATTTATTTTATTTAAAATTATGTTTTTTTTATAATTTTATATTTAAATTCGCTCTTTTAATATCTCATATTTGAAGTATCTGTTTTTGACGGCAAATAAGAATCTACATCATAAATTTCGGTCAATTTTGGTTCTCAAATTTCCACATTTTTCGGGGTGTTAACCAAGAAATTAGATATCTTGATAGATGGGACAGATAACTTGATAGATGGGAGGATCGTACGGAAATTACGGGTAAAAAAAAGACGGAGACTGCACGTTCATGTTTGTGGTGGCCTTATCGTCTCGCGTTCAACCTTCAACCTTCTTCTTATCCATCCCACAAGTCGATCCTTCAACCCATGAGTCTCTTGGGTCAAGAACATATAAAGTTTCTAAAAGGAATAAAACTTCTCGTAATCCTCGAAATAAACTTGCAATAAGTATGATACCGAAAATTCGTGTGCGTGATAAACGCAGTGTTCGTAATGTATAACAGAATTTCGAAAAAATTTTTATAGCTATAATTTATTTTAATTATCGATTACTTATAACAATTATTTCCATTTTTTTTCTGATTTTCATATTTACAGGAGTCTTTGTATTTTGCAATAGATTAATCTCAGAAACAAGAGTTTATCTTGATAAACGATACTGTCACAATTTTAATCACTTGACTTACATCGCTTGATCATAAAGTTGGATCCATAATTTCTTTTATCACAAGATCAAATTAATTTAAAGAAATAATAATATTATAATTATCTACAACTACTCTTTTCATAAATTCCGCACGTTTTCGTGCACAAATAAAATCACGTAACGTACACGAAACAGTCGACGACGATTGCATTTCCCTTATTTCCTCTTAACTTTTTTCAGAAGAACGAGGATTTAAGGATATTGTTGAATCGGATTTCGTCTCCGGTCACGCCAGTCGATAGGAACGGCAAGAAGAAAGTTTACGCTACTCGTGGTAGATACCGATGCGATTAAACCTTACGTGCCGCACGGCAGCAGAGAGAGCTTTCGCGATATATCCTAATTCAGATACGATAAACGCTAAAGTTTCAAGTTTGGCGCGAGTCGCCGTGGCTATTTCCGCCTTGGATTTATGCGGTCGTTCACCATATCTGAAGTAGGCCAATACAAAAAGAGTCATTGATTAACAAGGAAGCATTCGGATAATTACGGAGCAAGTCATATGAGATATATTAAACAGAAATTAATACAATATTTAATTCTCAAATATTATCAGGAACATATACGTATCACTTTTCATTCTTGTTATTATTTATTTAATATTTAGAAAAAACCTGCTTTAGGAAATGCCTATACTATATAAATAATTTATAGGAAATGAAGTTTCTTGTAATATTAATAGAGATTGCAAATTGTTATTAAAATTTTCACATAGGTCCGGTTGCACTGACGTCGGTCGGAATTTCTATAGACACAATTAATCGAATCCTCTCTTTTACTTTATATAATATGTACAAACATGTATTTAGAAAAACGATTGAAATATGATTAAAGCTGAGCGATGTCGGTAAAACCGGTCCTTGGAAGAATGTTTTGTCGTTTGCGGTCTATTCAAACGCGACGATAGTTTGTGGTTCCGATTGTGGTCGATGTGAAAGCGTTAAACGGATGCCAAAGTAACCTGATCGATAATACAGGATTACAACGGCATCTATTAAAGGCTTAACACTCGTTTTCGCTATTCACAGTGGACACGTGGAAATTGCACGGCGAAAGGAAAGTCTGTCCTCAATGCCAGAAGGAAGCTGTGCCAACGCTTCATACGCGTGGCAACAAACTGACGACTTCACATATCGGAGCTCTTTGCCTTTTCGGGTAAAAATTTTTTATTTAATATTTGTTAAATAATCAATTCGTTTAATGAATCGTACACTTAATTCTAGAGCTGATAAATACGTAGCGTAATATTACTGACAGATAGGAAGTCGTCCTGCTGCTTTATCTCTAATGATTTATCACATTTCTTTTGAATACGACTACATAGACTTCTACAGAACTTTTGTGTTTATTTGATAAAACTTTTTGCCCCTTATATATGTAATACCGTTTCTTCTGCAACGACCTTCGTTACTTTTAACGAGAGATAGCTTTTTGCTGACCTTTTCACGATGGTCGGCCAGACGAAATTTAAAACTCCGCGGCTCCCGATGTCCAACTGATTTCCCATGTTTCCTATCATTTTGAGAATTTCTATTCTAAAGATCCGAGAAATTAAAATTGAAAATCTAAATTTAATAAAAATTTGAACGTAAGCTTTTTAGTGCTTCAAGATAAATATTTTCTATCTTTTAAAAATGTTTCCTTCTATTTTCGACTATGTTACTACGCCCTTTTAAGTACACTACAATTTCTATATGAACGGCCTTATGTGCTCGTAATTCGCGCACAATCGTGCTATCAGATTCTCACCGCATGGCGATTCGCAACAGATGTTGGCCGTTTTGCTTTATTCCATTAATGATGAAGCGCGCAAAGAGGGTTCGCATGATCTGTCCATTATGCGGCCACGTTTACGGCAACTTTGAATACAAAAACGCGAAGCTGATGCCCTGCAAGTCCACTGACGTCGAAAATTCGAAAGCGGTAGGACTTGCATCGCCCATATCCGCGAACTTTCGTATGCGAGCCACGAGAGAAGAATCGTTGGAAAATTAATAAAGAGCATTCGTGAATGTTTATTATTGACATATCGACGATAACAAACGTCATTGTGCTTTTTCCGAATAAAGTGTTTTCAGCGTTACGCTTATTTCGATACTAATATTTCGATATCGATCTTCAACGACAATTATGTTCATCGCGAAAGAGAGAGCTTAATTAACGTACCACGTTTTATTATTTTACATTTTAATAAAGTACTTTATCAATATATTGTTTTGTTTTACATAATCTACATAAATAATTAAGACCCGCTTGATATTTTAAATAACAAATGGATTATCATCCAGCTAAAATTTATACGTTTCTGCTAATGAATGTTTCGAAAACGAGAAATTAATTTACAAGACTAAACTTTTCAATGTAGCAAATTTATTTACAAGAAAACAAAGATACGTAGACAGACTAAAGGCTTGTTTGTACCACGCTAATGTATATAATATTTCTCGGAAACATAAATAATGAAATACTATTTCGTAAATTTACAATTATACGTAACATCAAAATATTATTTCCGTGAGAAATTATTCATTAGCGGACATTGAGTTATCAAATTGAAATAGTGATAAAATATATATTGAACCGTTGAAAAAGATAATACAAGACATGAGTATTATGAAATAATTCGAAATGAATTTCGATCTGAAATTGTTTGATTATTTCCTAGAATTTTATTATGTTTTCTACATGGAGAGAATTTTCTCTTAGAATTTAGCCTGAAAATCATAATAATAGTGGGACAACATAGTATTTCAAAGAATTGTATATAAGTTTCTTTAATTTACTAATATGTGTCATAATAAGATATGTAATATATTTTATTAATTTTACTAAAGGGTATAGTAAAATTTCAACATTTTAAAATATGTTACGCAGTTTATGATTCTTTATTATTTTAAAAGAATAGATGCCAAGTAGTCATGAATATATAAAATAGCTTATACATTTTTTACCATACAGCATGATATTTTTAATCTGATTTAGTCGCTTATAATTTTACCATGTAACATAGTAAATGATCGATTGTAATCGATATTTATCGGTTATTTTCGTTGTCGAGTGTGTTTCTAGCTACGCTAGAACTTACTCACTTCAAAACATTTTACAATCTGCATTATAATTTTTACTACATCATTTATAAAAAGTCTCTTGTATATTTCAAAAAATCTATCGTTACTGATAATATTTCATTATTGTCAAGTTGTCCCAAGCTTATTACCAAACATGATGAAATTTGTAATGAATTTTGCGGTAAAAAATAACGAAAAATTCTCTCCGTGTAGAGAAAACGAAATAATTCTGATTAGAATCCATTCCGAATAATGATGAATTTATAATTTATTTTATAATTTCGACGAAGAAAAAAGCTGCAAGTTGGCACGCGATCCGTACGATACATTGTTGTTTCAATATGTAGTTACGCGCGAGATCATCAGCTCCCGGACGATTTCCATAATGACTTATTATGCCCGTAATTAAACCGCGGATTTTGTTGTAATCAGCGGCCATAGCGGCAGTTCGAATCGGTTTACCGCAAACAACGCGATTGAGCGCCGCGCGTTTAAAACAGTAATTAGAAATGCGTTCGCAAATTCTGTTCATTAATATGTTACGCCCCAAGTGTGCGTTTTCGCTGCAAAATGCGCGCGTGCACCGGTTTATGTTTATCGCGCGCGCAATGAATTTATGCTTCTAGAAAGCAGCGCGCTTTTGTAAATCACAAAGGACGGAATGCAAGCGGAGCGGGCCGTCGCAAAGTGGCATGTTATTCCCGTGGATTCCGACACTGAAAGCAACCGATGGTAAAGCTCACGCTCCGAAACGACCGAACAATGTCTTCTCCACGAAAGGTCTGCACAAAGACAACAGCCTTTATTAATTTTAAGTGAACTAAAAATTACGGAGTATACGAACATAATCCAGATAAAAAGCGGGGAGTTTTATATTTTTCTTCTTTTTCGCTTCTGTCAATTCTAAATTAATTAAAAATTTTGCGATTATTATTACAATACTGAATAAAAGTTTATTATGGAATATAACATAAATAATATGTATTTGAATAAATGCCGTAAAAAACATTTTATATTTGCATTAAAACTGGTCTACTAAAATCCTCGTTAAAATTTTGTTGAATTTTTAAAATACTCGAGTGTTAATTTTACATAATATGACTATGTTATTTAAACATTTAAATTTAAATTGATATTTAACATTTTTTAGTATTAAAATAACACAATTTGTGAACAAAATACATAAAAATAATGCATTTAAAAATATAAATTTTAAGATAAATAAATGTTAATTTAATACATTATAACTGTTAGTTCTATCGGAAAATATGCTTTCACAGTTTGCTTGCACATTATGTCAGTATTACATTTTTGTTAATTTTTATATATAATATTTGTGTTACTTTTTAATATATCTTGTGTGAAATTAATACAAAAATTAGAGTTTGGAACAGTAATACGTGTTTTTAACACAAATTTTACACAAATTGTATACAGTATACAGCCAAGACTATGTAAAGGCTATGATACAAAAAGTTTAAACAGTAAATTTTAAACAGTAAAACTTAAGCAATAAGCAATAGCAAATCGTCATTTTGGATTTGCTACAGCATGTTTACACTATTGCTGTTTACGTTTTACTGCATATTTTTTTGTATGTGTCGTAGCTCTTAATCTAATATTTATATATTTTTACAGTTGAAACATGGAAATATCACGACGAATCAATACGTTGTCCTGCGTGTGGAGTGAAAAAGATGCCGATAATACTACAACAACAAAAATTCACGAGTTCTCGTCTGGTTGCATTTTGCTTAATGGGGTTAGTCATTAAAAATTCTTATAATTGACTATTTAATAAAAGCGGTGAAAAAAATGCGCTGCAATTGCACCTTGTTAATATGTATGTGATAGAAAAGAATACAAATTGCTGGTTACATAACTTTGATATCAATCGCAATGCGTGCGTGCGTAAAGTAATATTCATATTTATTTATTCAACGCCATAAAAGCGTCATGACAAATCGATAATTTAATATTAAATAAATAGAAGCAATGGAGAGAAAAAAAGAGGGATTTCGTTCGCACATTTCGCGTAAATTCGCACCGATAAAGCAATATCAGTAAAACAAGTTTTCAATAATCGCTTATTAGCGGCGGTAAAAACGACGCTAATTAGCGAGGCGCACCTGCGGATTCTCTGAATAGTCTCTCCCCTATAATATACGGGTTTTTCAAAAGACCAACGCGCGGCCATAGCGCAAAACGGTTAAAGCGTGAATCGTAATCATTAAATCCTTTTCGTTAAATTTAATCCTGGTCGCGAGTCCGTTTTCAACGAATTGAATTCATAATTTCGCGACAGAAATCGTGAAATTACTCGCTCTCATAAATCACGAAGAGTGACTGCCGATAAGCATGTAATACCGTATTTCAAAATGAAATATATTCACTTCATTAAATCTGATTAGCGAAGTGCAACATGATATAAGCTTCATCAGGAAATAATCTTCTTTGTGATACATTTACATGGATTTTTCCCCACATGCATTTAAATATAATCTTTTATCTGTTATCTTTTGTAATTATATCTATTATTTCTGAACTTTTATTCATTATACGTAAGTCTATTAACTGATAGATACATGAAATAAGATAATGAAAGAAACAAGGCGTTCATTTGTGATTGTTTGTTAATTGATAGATATGATGAAAGAAACAAGATCCTAGTGATATTGTCTGCTGATTGTTTCAAAGTATACACTTGTTGGTATATTTATTTCAACTTACCACTTCATCTTAATCTATTTTTTAGAACGAGAATCTAGAAAAGTACACAATACAAAGCAATATTAAAATCGTAATAAGAATAAATTGCAATATGTTAAGTTTCATATTTTCCAACAAAAGAGAAAGAAATATACGCTTATTTCCAACTTTAATTTCATAAAGTTTACAATTCCATATCCTACACAATTTTGCTCGCGAAATCAAGTATCTCATTATTTTTTATTAACGGAAAACTAGGACGAGCGTAGCATTGATACTCTTCTTCTTGCAGATGTTGGCCCTTCTGCTTCATACCGTTACTGATGAGACGGGACAAAAGTGTGCGCACGCTATGCCCGTGTTGCGGTCACGATTATGGGATTTGTACGCGAGCAGAGAGCAAGCTGATTCCCTGTTCACCCAAATATACGTCTAGTCGAGGGAAATTGAACAATTTTGCAAATTCACGACTGTGTCATCTTCAGACTGAGTGCGACTCGAAAATACAATCGAGATATCGCCAGGTGAGCAGCATCACACCGTTACGCTAATCGCATCAACAGATTAATTCCAATATGTGTACACTATTTACCAGTTAACCTTAAGATATCGACTAAAATTTCGAAATATTAGTATTAATGATACAATACATTTTCATTAAAAAACATGGAAATAATTTGTCAGATAAATTTTTTAACAGCTTTTACAGTGAATTAATTTTAATAATATCTAAACATTTGAAATAACATTTTTGCTAGCTATAATAATTTTGTTATAAATGAAAGATTGCATCTACTATTCTCATAAACTGAGATACACTGTTAAATTTTATAGGGTCAAATTAACTCAATGTGAGTCGCCACTGCTCCTACTAAATATATCGTTATTTTTTATTAAAATGATAATTAAATTTGACACTATATAATGTTAAATTGATACTGTACAGTGTCAAATATAACCATTGTTTTAGTAAAAAATAACGATATTATTGAGTAGGAGCAGTGGCGACTCACATTAAGTTAATTTAACCCTATAAAATTTAACAGTGTATAATTACTTTCATATTTACCTTTAAAATTTCATTAATCTTTAACTCAAAAAACATCCTTCTCTAAAATTAATGCTTTAGGAGAAATTGATGCGTCATATACGCTTTATATGCTTCATTCAATAGTCTCATGTACGTTCATTACGCGTCATTACGTTGTCGTAGAGGGGAATAAAAAAATCGATACTTATCCGTCTATCGGTTGAAAGGCGATACACAGATAGCGTGCTAACATCAACGACGTTTCTCGTATGACAAAGAAAACACTTTCCATGGATGACGAGGCCGCGAGAGCTCTCAGGGTCTTGAAGGAGCGTCCTCGGCAAAGAGAAGAAATAAAAGAAGGCGGATCTCGTCACTGCCGGTCGCAATCGAAGTTATCGCACGGATACGCCTTTTGTGCAAACCAGGTCACGGTGAGTCGTCATTATCGCGATATTTTATATAGGTGGCCCACCGTCGTTGTCGGAAAATATTTTCAGGGCTTTTCGGACGAGATCGATTTTCACGCGGCGGAAATTTGATACGACACTCCCCATGACAATAGATATCTTAAAGTTGTAGCTTTTATTGAAATCGTGTTAAAAATAGTACGCCTCAATTTATTTAAAAATGATCAATAAATGCGTGCATGCATCATATATTTTTTATAAATAATATTTTATAAATAATAAATATTTTTTAATTAGAAATTTTTCACGAAAAATTCGCTGAAAATAATCCGAAATTCACCAAAAAATTATACCTATAATTTTTCGTTTATTTATCGCGAGAAGTGCATGCGTCATTGAGATCCAATTATTTTTATTATTACAAAATATTAACAATAATTATTATGCATAATAATTATACATTTATTAATATAAAAATAATAAAATGTAATTTGTGATCAATTTTCATTTTAGCGTTATTTTGATTTTTGCGAAAGACATGTAAAGTGAAGTATTGTTGATACCTTTTATCTATTGTTATTATCGTACTAATTCTCAAATTTTTAAAACGAATGACCGAATCACATTTTGCAAATGTTCACAATTTTTATCGTGTGCAGAATCGCGATTCGTCGTACGACGAGTGTAGCAGTGACGATTGCGTGGACAAAAGATGGGATCGTTGGCGCGACTTGAACAAGTCGAAAACTCCAAAAACTTGGGGACAAAGCAAATCCAAAGAAAGCACGAGGATGGCGACGGACGATTTTTATGCAAGACAGGTTTGCTGTCGGGAGTGCGGCTAAAACGAATAAAGAGATGGTCGAACGAACGAGGAACGGTGGACGAACAAATGTATTTGCACATCGCTCGCGAAACGTGAACTGTTACTTCATTATTCCGTGTAAATTCAATTTTGCGGAATTCCGTGGTAGGGAAGGTGAGTTCCCCGACGTAGAACTTAAATGGAAACTTGCGGCACAAACAGTTTCACGCTGCGAGAGACACGATTTGCGTTCCCGGCTGACTGACAATTTCGTGGAGAACTTTACGAAACAAGACAAGACGAGACGAGACGCGACACGTCGTATTATTACTTTATTAATCACCGTTAACAGATTTTTGAATATACGTTCCTTTTTCTGTCCTTTAGAACAACACTCGCTTTTCGTGAGAACAAAGACAGAATCTTTTTTTTTATTCAAACATATTTACACAGCTATTCATTTATTTTTAGATAAGCTTTCACGAAATTTGTAATATCGAACGTTAAAATAAAATACCTCTAAAAACGGTTGAAACCTTCGTTTCTGAATGAAATAACGTTTCAATGATTATTTTTGTGTTAAAAATCTAAAATTCTTTTATATCAATTTTTCATGCTTTTTTTTCCAAAGCTTCTATAGTTTCATTTTCACAATCGTATATAAATCGAGGGGATTTCTACATGATAGCATGTAACAAATATTTTTCAATTATTTCATCTCGCTATTGTAATTATTTAAAATTCGAAAATAATTATTGACAAGATTTTTCGCGATATTTGTTACAAAGAGTACAAAAACGTTCCTGTAAATTACACTGAAGCGAGGTGAGTTTCGGATAAACGAGGTATTCTCTAACGGGAGATTTAATAGGCGTACTTCAATTTATCGACGCGTTTAAGACATAAAATAAACGGATCGCCGGGACGTATGAATGGTTCTCTACTTTCTTTCTTTTCCATCGAACGACATTCGTTTCATTTCCTTATTACCTCATTATCTTACGCCGGCCGACTTGTCTACCATGTGCATCCGGATAATAATTTCCCGGAATTCTTTGCCGGCTTTAGCTCGTAAAACGGGAAAAACTCGCGCGTGGAATGAATAATACCGCGCGAGCGAACCACGAATCCCGCTAAATGCATCTATACCGACGAAGGAAATCGCGGTTCAAAAGTGCAATCGTGCACGTTGCACCACAATTACTATCGGCCGCTTTATTAATCACAAATAGATAAAGTATCAAAGGCTCTTTAAAATTTAAATTCGGCTATTCATTTACAAATTATGGATCAAAGTGTGATATAATTCATTTTATCAAGCGCGTTTTGATGTTAATAATTAGATTAATATCTCTATACCAATATAAAAGAGCTATTTTATGTTATATATTACATTTATATCTTTTTCTATAAACGATTTTATTTGTGATTTTTAATTTCTTTTTATATAAAAAATAATGCAATAGTATTGACAAAATATTAAAAAATCTTTACAAACATTACCACATGCAATTTAAGATTGTAGGGGTTGTTAACGTGACGTAACGATTTTATTTATACATTCTTATTTCATTAAAACTTTCTCAATTTGAGCATACAGATTTTAAACAGAGTTAAACTTAATCATACGGCGCATCTTTATTTAATAAAAAAATTGTAAATTTTCTCTAACGAATTTACCTATTCACTACACACATTATATCGCGCTGTAACTTCCCCCTTGGAAAAGGTACGCTCGATTGCGTAATGTGTTTCGAATTATTCGGAAAGAGATAGAAGCAAAAAGTGCGCCACAGGAGGATGCGAGTAACGTATGCAAATCGCATCCTCGCGAAAAAAAACCGCAAAAAAAGCACCGACGAGCCATACAGCCGCCGATTCCGGTGTTTCTAAATGAGCGCTCGGATTCGCGCTTATCTAAATAATTAGTATGCACCATCACAACCGCATACGTTACGCTCCGTAATAGACGTAGCATATCGCACCGCATAACTAAACAAATGCGATTACGCGTTCGTCCAGTTGGAAGTATATGCGTGAGTAATGTATAAGTTATTATCATACATCTTATTTACAAAAAGCCGACATATAAGTGTGCTTATAATGATTTCCACTGAAATTAATGTTCAAAATTAACCGCAATTAAACGCGAGTTACTTTTATCGAGAAAATTAACTATACTGTCCTCTGAAACAGATTTAATTAAACGTAAGGAAACTAAATTTCATCGAATACCTTTAATAGTCCAGAGTTCATCTATTGCTCGAGTGAGTTAACGGCGCTGTAATTAGTGACGGTCATATCGAAGCACGTAAGGGAAACGCGTGGCTCAGCGCAGCTCTCTCCATTCTGAGCTTAAAAGATGAGTCACTCCCGTCGGGGCTGCTGTCTCCGTCTTTTATTGTTGCCAATAATACGTCCGTGAGCGCTGATTGGCTAGTTATAGGAAGAAGGACGAAAGGTCCTCTCTTCACGGAAGGAAAGTTTTCCCCGAGTAAAGAGAACGCGGCCAGCCAGCTAACCATCGACGTAGCACGTAACGGGCATAAAACGATGAAAGTAATCTCGGCTCTGATCTCGTAGACGGTTACCAGAATCGGCGATCGATACGCCGGAGTGCGCCCGTAAAGACGACTTGATTCCATTCTATTCACGTTACTCCTAATAGAGTTTAGTCCTCTTATTGTCTTCGTGTCGTTGCAGCTTATCTTTAAATGGTAGAACTTATGAATCATAGTCCTCGAATATAATAAATATCGTACAACCAAGAGAGAAAAAAAGAAGAGAGAAAGCGAGCGGAAAACACTTAACTAACGCAACGATTTATATCAAATACAAATTTTGGGCATCATAAACAATATAATAATAACGAGAACTTAAGTCTATAGTACACGTTGCGTTAATACAATAAAGCGCAATTTAACTCGCAAGTGGCAATCAACAATTGAAAAGCTTTATTTCTGACTCGCTTTAAATCCATATCCTTGAAAAATGTAAATTATGTGCCGTCCCTCCGAGAGCGAATGAGTTACAGGGACAGTGAGTATGAAAAATGAAATGTAAATAACGAAGCACAAGTACACAAAATACGCGAATATGAATCTTCTACTGTACTCTCGACTTCAATCTACCGTGGGAGTGCATAATATGCCAGAGAGAGAGAGAGAGAGAGAGAGAGAGAGAGAGAGAGAGAGAGAGAGAGAGAGTGATGGGAGAAAAAAAAAGAGAGAGAGAGAGAGAGAGAGAGAGAGAGAGAGAGAGAGAGAGAGAGAGAGAGAGAGAGACTGTTGAGTGAGTTGCATGATACCGATCGCGAAGATACGCTCGCAGATCGCGCGGGGATGAAGAACACAATGCGAGATCGTCAGTTTAACTAGGCCATGAAAGCGGTACCCGAGCGTTATAAGAAAAGCCATATAATTAGCATTGCAAACGTTTCTTCGCTCCCACTCCCTTCCGGTTTCGTTCCTCTTAGAATTCGTTTAACGCCGGTCTCTACCTTTATTCCCGATTTCAGAAAAATTCAACCGTTTATAGTCTATTTTGCATCCTAACGAGCAAATTAATTAGTCCATGGAGCTTTATTGTAGTTTAACTCAATCTCATTTTTGTCTTCTCTCTCACAAAAAAAGATGCATATTTAAACGTTCGAAGAGTGCTAATATATGTGTCACGTATTGTATACATTGTTAAATTCATAATCTCAAATTATATACAATTTGAATATTTTTAATCATTTGTACTGGTTGCTGTGGCTCCTAAATATTAATTTAACAGACATCGGAATTTAACAATTAATTTAACCGAAGAAAATTATTAAATTTTACTTTTATTATTTGCTAAGTGCATACGTTAATATAGACGTCGTCTATATTACTTTGAAACTAGTAACTAAATGTTATTTAAAGAAAGTGAGTTATTATTGCTTTTTTTTTATATCCAGCAGTGTAATTTTAGTTAGTTCCTTAATTAAGATTTCCATTAAAAATTTAATCTTCCTGCTCGAAGTCGAATAAAGAGGAACTTGATATTATTCATCTATGTGTTGAAAATCCAATTCGAGAAAATATTTTTATTTTTTATTGTTTGTAAATGATTAAAAAGTTATATTTCGACATTTGTCGAACTTCCATTTTAGAATTCAGGAATCTATTTTAGACGTTATACAATATTCGCGCATCATTCGGTATCTCTGTCGTATTCTACTCCCACTTTCGTCCCGCGATGATATATTTCTCGTTTTACTGGAATATCATTCGCGGTAACAGTGTTTTCTCCTTTTTTTCCATTCGGTATGCTTGACTGATCACACAACAAGGAGCCTTAACCGCCTCCTCTCTCTATACTTCTCCTCCTATCGAGAAATCCTATGCTGTTAACTCGCAGACCGTCCTGTAATCAATGCACCATCGCCGTCGTTATGACCACCTACGATACCGATATCCTCTTCCTCATCGAATTTTACGACCGTTGTTCCTCGCGGCGGCTTCGCATATATTTCCGGGAGTCTCTTCTTTTCGACATCTTGGTCTCTCTTTGATGATCTCCTAGCGTTGAATTTCGAAGAATCGAAATACCACAGTACTTCGGGAAAAGGCAATAAGAGAAAGGTTCGGTGGAAACGTTACTCGACGTAGGAACACATAATCTCTTCGATTTCCTCAGAGATTCTGAACAATTCTGAAAGATTTGAAAATTTACATTTTCTTTTAACGGTACATAGGACGTTTTGTGTAACCAACAACTTTTGAAACATATATTCCGACAATTAATTTCCAGAACACTGCATGACGAACTTACAATAAGTTTCATTAAGTTAATTTTTATTTAATAAAAATTTATTAGCTTATTTATAAATTTTTATTATGGTTGAGTAGTAGATTAAATACATTTCTACCTATCCGAAAAATATTACTCTATTTCTTATTATCACGCGTCGCATACACTTTGATTATATAACTCAAATATTACTTTTAATTAATCCTCATTATATTTTATTATCTTATTTCTTGTCCATCATCTCTAAGCTTGTTTTTTTTAATTATCAATATAATAATTGAGAAAAAAAAAACAAAAATATCTTAGGTTCACTGGAAGATTCAATTTCACGACGAAATATGAGAGCAGCAAGGAGAATCATGAACCTGTTCGGCTTATAAACGATCGTCCACCCCATGACGAACGATCGGGCACCCTTTAATATACCAACCACCCGCTCGTGCCGTCTCGACCCCGTAACTTTGCAATGGCGGCCACTTTCAAACTTGGTCTGCGTTCGGTGTTACAGCTTTATAAATGGAGCACAGATTAATTAGAACGACGAATCCACATCGAGTCGGGTCGCCAAGCGGTCGAACTCTAAGTCTTAGAGAAGATTATACTTGAAGAATTACGATTTTCTCCATTACACTATGAGGAATTTTTATTAACTAATGTCTTAACCGCTAATAATGTTGTTCGAATCAAAGACACGATTTTCAAATGTATTTTTATAAAAACATATTTACTGAAAGAAATAAGATACTTATTGATCCTAGAAATTTGTTAATGTTTAGGTAAAAAATATTTCGATAATTCGAACAAAGTCTCATCTATTTTCTTATCTATTTTATTTGTAAAAATACGTTACTGTTGATTTCGATTACTCGCTCGATTACGCGTTAATTGTGAATTATGACAGCAAATTAAATTGTGTCCTTATTTTATACGCACTATCGAAAACTGTAACCCAGCCGCGTCTAATTAAGCCGCATTTGAGAAGCGTAAAGTACATCAAGTACGATTCGCAGATCAACGTCAGAGATCGTGCTGAAAGGGAGAGGAGATTACGTCTAATTCGGTTTCAAGTGAGTGCATATAATCCGCTTGGCGCGTAATTGAGCTTAGATTAGGCGCTCGTGGATTATGAATAGATCGTCGGCAATTGCATTGCGGTAATTAGCACTTTAGCGGGAGGAACGCGAGCCGATAATTCGCCAACCTGCCACGGTGCATCGAATGAGCGAGCGATAGATTCGTAAAGACGGGATGATGCTAATATACGAGATACTATTAGCTGACAAACGCTAACGATGATTTACGGGAATTATTGTATAGATTGATATACAAATATTAGAAGATACCATAAGATTATTAAGTGAATTAATTATCTACCGTTAAGAATTTAATAGGTGTTGAATGAAGAAATTAAATCTTTTATGTGTAGAGAATGAATATTTTTAAAAGATATGATTTAAAATTATAGGATAAGGTATAAGAAGACTAGAAGTGTTTGGAATTTAAGTGATGTTGCGCGAGTTGCGCTTAGAAACATTATCTTATCCGCGCACAGAGAGGACAAGTCCTTCGTACTTTTCCTCTGGCCGAGACTACTTCCCGGTAGTCGCAGTAATGATTCAACTCCGGTTTAATTAGGAGCGGGACGGCCGAGTATACAGCCTGGAACGACACCCTCGCGACGCGACTTCTCTTTCGTCGTCGTCGTCGTCGTTGTCGTTGTCGTAGTCGACACGGCACTTCGATCGTTTGTCGAGCGCTCGTTAATTAATCGCCCGTCGCGTTCGAGAACAAACGAAGCGGGAGCGGCGAGTACGAGCGGAAGGATATAAACGAGGCTACTAAGTTATTCTATTGGAGTCACCGTCTTTCTCGACTCTCCTCTCTGTTCTTTTAACGGCACACTCGGGATGCTCGCGAACCGCGTTGTCGCGGTTGAAACCGCTGTCGCTATGCTGACGCGCGGCTTTAAGCGATCTTACAGCAATTTATCATGTAAAGTGTTCCACTTGCACCGCGTTACTTTCTAATGGCAGTTTCATTAATTATAATTCGAAATTATTTTTTTACATCGCAGTATTGACTACTTTCGTGTAATATAAACTTGATAACTGAATAATATGAACATAACTTTCGAGTAATATGAATATTAATTTTAGGTTAAAATACAAAGGTAATTAATTTAATATTAAGAAATTAACCTTTCGCTGAATTAAAAAAGAATATAAATGCCATTACTCAATTAATTTAAAATAAACATAATTTGGCAAAATTTTTATTTTTTTTACTATAATATATAATATAATATCAAATGATATAAAAGGGAATAAGAATTATCTCAAATAACTTCAAAAAAGTCGATTATAATTTATTTTAATTTGCATAAAAAGATATCATAAGCAGTGTTTTATTAATACAAATTACAATGAATTAATATCAGTTAACAGCAATATTAATGCTATTAAATTAATAATAATTAATATAAAGATAGTATTATCTCTCCATTTAATTCAAATCCTAAAAGTGTTTCCGACAGTACATGTTTGCATTTGAAATCGGAAACCTATTTTCATAACGTAAATGTGCATTTTAATACAATCGTTTCTGAGCCATCTCGCGTTGGTGTAATCTTTTCGAGGGTGTTACAGGATGAAAGAAGATAGAAGACGGCGTTGAGTGTTTTCACCGCACTCAACCATCTCTCGTGTCATCGTCGAGCACTGTGAATATTGCCCCTGTGATCGTTGCGTTGTATAAAGAACGGGAAAATGGCCTGCCCGCCTTTGCATTGTCGCTATACCTGTCGCTGCCATCAACACGAAGATGAGCTTCGCAAGATAAAGAACCGCAGGCTAATTCGCATTTTCACGAGAATGCATTTTTCTCGAGACGATGCTGTCACTAACAACCTGAACGGTGGTGTAACCAGTGATGGCTTTTCCAGCAAAAGCAGTATTGGAAGAATTATTTAAAAACAAATCAACATTCGAAAAAATAAACGAAACTTATGCAGTACAATAATTTCATTTTAATAAATTATTTATTTAATTGAAGGTTTTATTCGATCTACGCAGATACAATTATTTGGCAAATTAATATCCGTTTCTGCTGTGATTAATTTCACCAGTTAATTACGTTGGAAGCCACTTAATGCTAGGATAGTGAAATAATTAATAATTTCGATTGGAAAAATTTTTATCTTATACATATTTTAGAAGCAATTTTTATAGAAAGTTTTAATTTTATCGTTTCTTTACTGTATTTTTATAATACTAACCCATAACAGTTAAGGAGCAAAACCGATACGCACGACACGAAGCCATAGCTCGCGTGTTTAATCGAGATTAGTAAAAGTTTGTTCAAAATTGCGCATTGTACTACACCGACGAAAAGAATCGACGTAACACGCACCATTATGTATGTGCTCGTGTTTTATTCGAGATAAGGTTATCCCGAGTTTGGCGTGCACGCAAGACATCTGCTTTCCGATAGTAACTTTCTACAACCGATAACCGATAGTCCAGATCTATCCAAGTAAATCTTTTTATGTGAAACTCAATGAAACTTTAATCTGAAAATTTAAAAAAACGTCCAGTTTGAAATTAATGCTGAGAGAGATTTCATACGGAAACTTGAAATTAGTCTTTCGATATCTCTATCTCATTATTCTTTCTTTAAATTATTCTTCGGAAAATTATTAATTTTCATATTCATGTTATAGTTTTTTATCACAATTACAGTTTTATTTTCCGAAGTTACAATATTTCGGGCATGAAAGTGTTCTTTTCCAGGAGAAAATAATTTTTATCAAGAAAAAAAAATATTTACATCATGTTTATATTTTTAATTTATATTAGCACGTTTACATTCACACTTCTCTGATTCTTTATATAATCAAAAAGTCACGAGTTATCCACAGTATTCAACTCTCAGCTGTGAATAACACGTTTTCTTTGCAATCTGCGAGATTCTCGCGCTTTGTGAGGGCGAGTCAACCCCTCGGGGAAACATTTTCTATTCGTTCGAGAATTAATATGAGGTGGTAATACCGCGTATTGCGTGGCGGTTTACAGGTCATGCTTTGATTTCGCCATATTCGCGACGAATATATATGCCGACTAACTCTGCGGGGTATCAGGATTATACTGCGCTTTATTATTGTAGAAAACCGTTGCTCGCAGTTAATACAGAAAAGCTCACTGCTTTGCGAGAGATATTGATTTCCGGACTTGTCCCCAACATTTTCCTTCCCTTTTTCCTTCAAATAAAATAAATTCTCGAATAAATTTAGTTCGTATGATTTTTTGAACGCTCGTCCTTTTTTAAGATCGTTCCATAGCTTGCGGAGTCAAAATCGTGGGAAAAAAAAGACGTTAAGAATCTCTTCGATGGAGTTCACTGTTCATGTAAAACTAGAAAGGAGTCCGAAGAATAGAAAAAAGTAGAAGAGGAACTGCGAACAAGGTATAATAAAGTTCGACGTATAAAATATGTCGGCCACGTCGGCGGAACGTAATCCTCATTGTAACCAAGTTTTCTGCCTTAGGAAAGGCAGACGGAAAGGCCAAAGCGAGGGAGTTAAGAGAAATCTATATATGTTTATCTTCGGAGAAGTGTTTAAATATACCGAGTGTATAATCAAGCACTTTATAATCTGAATATCACTGAACATTGATAGAATATATTCTCTAAAAATGTTTCAGAATTACATTATCTTCTACATGACCAATTTCCTGTGTAATATATATGTATATGCAGCCTACGACAAGCTAATTTATCTTTATTTTCAGACTTTATTTTTTGTAATGCAGTATAATGTGCTATGCTAATGTAATCTAAGAACTTTTCTGAAAAATTTTTATTTTCGAGAAATGTTCAAAAGTATTCAGGTCGTCGAATCTTTTATATGAGATATTTTAATATTAATATCGGTCTTTGATGTAATATAGAAAAATCTGCATATTTCTCTCTCAGAGCGAAATACAAGAAAATGTCTGTGGCGTCAAGACATATTTGCACAAAAATTTTAAGATTACAAATTCCTCTCGCGAAATGAAATCGCACGCCGCAAATTTCCCGTCTCGCGCCGCGCGAATTATTTCGCGCGCACGCGGTTCATTTACCGGAGAAAATTCCGCTTTTAGGAATAACCGCCGCGACAGGAATAACCGCAGGCGTGAATCGCGAATTTCCTGTTCTTCGGTATGCAACGCGGCGCGCGATATCAAGTAATACAAGCAATCGTAATTGCGCCAATTAGAAACATCGCCGTTCTCGGAAGTCGAAAAGCGCGGCGGGGAATACATAAATCGCGCGAAAGCGCGACTCTCTTTCCGCGAGCGAATACCTGATAAAGTTAAAACGCGGCGAAAGATGTATTAAGAGTACCACCGGGATAACGCACAGTTCATTCTTCGCGAAGTTAATTAAGTCAGGCTTCCTGGAAATGAAGAAGGAAAAGGAAAGAGTGTCCAGAAACATGCGGAGGTTCGTTCCGCGCGGCACTAAGTTTTTAATTAGACTCTAGCTTCTTCTGGAGAGAGGTCCCTGCGGATCGCAAGAAAGAAGTGAACGCGCGATTCTTGCCGGGATAATAAGGCTGGCAGTTTAGCCTGATAATTTCCCATTTATTCAGCAGCCAATTATCCAGCGGACGATCAGAAAATATAGTAATTCGTATAGGGAGTGAAGTATATGTAACATTATTAGCAACAGTATTATCCCGCGATGTATCAGTTAAAGTTAAAAGCATGTTCGTACTTTAGTTAAAACATACCCTTGATAACGCAAACTGCATCTTGCACGCAAAAGCGGCCGATGGCGGAATTACGTACCTGGAAGAAAAAAAGAAGACGGAATAAATTAATGATCGGAAAATACGAGTAAAAAATTACGAAGGGTGTCATGTAGTATAAATTGCGCGCTCGACGCGATAATAAATAACGGCACCATGTCAACGACTTAGCTTCTCGGCGGCAATAAAGGATTAAAATGCACGCCCGATACGGCAATATCGCGCGTTTATATCGGCGCTTTACGCTCGAGGAAGCAACGACAAAGCTGAAAAGTCGTCGCGTCGTCGAGTTTCCACGATTCCCAGCCAATTAAAACAACTTTTTATCGACCCGGCGGCCCGGCAAGTACAGCCGAGGATCGCCGATGAAGCGGGAGAGACTCCGTCGACAATGGAAGGCGTCTATGCGCAAGTCCTCTTTTTTCAACAAATCAGTTATTTATTATTTAGTCGACTGAACATTGGTTTATCGATTATTGAAAGAATGTTCAAAGAAGACATGTTTAAATGACTATAAAACAGATGTAATAAAAGCAAGCAATATATATTTACATTAAAATGCTATAATAAACCTTGTTAAAGTTATTCTTCGATTTTTCTTTAAATAAAGAAGACTTGAACATTTCTCAATAATTTATATTGGCAGTTAATCCATTATCGTAATGAGTAATGAATTAGCATATTAGATAATAAGAAAGTTTTTAAATAGAAATATCTTCAGGAAAAGAAAAGTCAAAGAACGTAAGAAACATCTGTTCCTTTCCCTTTAGTATTGAAAAGCGAATCCGTCTGATGTTCCTCGGAATATTTATAGCTCCATCACGGTCCGAGATTAGGCTGCTGCAGCTGCACGCTTGTACCTCCTATTGTTCACCGGGATTCTCGCGGCGGTGTCTAGGAAGGGCGTATCACTATCATGGAAGACGAAGAAGAGAAAGCGGAGGAGAGTCAGTAACATTGCTAGAGCTGGAACTTTAATGGCGAAGTTGTCCGCGACTGTCTCCGTGATAAGTTCATAATGCGGCAGCTCCGACGCGACTGCCATTGATAACCGACGTGGCGTAAACTTCGCCAACGACTGCACAGCCAACCACAGAGAGGAATAGCGAGACTAAGAGAGAAATCGAGAGAGCCAGAGAGAAAGGGATGGAGGGAGGGGCAGGAGGGGAATTCACGGTACTTTGGTCTAATAGGTCTCGCAGTTGTGGACTATCGACTAACGTGCTCGACTAACTTTTCGGCGTCAGCCTAGCGGCGGTTGATTTCGTGACAGGCGATCCGACGTTGACTGACATCATTCCGCGTGTTTCGAACTTGCTCTCGCCGCCGGCAAGATATCGCAAGCATCTGTTACTTACACCGTTAACGGGACGAGCTAAAGCGAAGGATGAAAATTAGGAACAAAATTGGTGACAATTTGCCTACGTTGATAATTAGAATTAATTTCCCCGGGATATTAAACGCGCTCGAAAATTTAATTTAAATTTGAATTAAAATTCGAATTCTTTCTCTGTAAACCACGGGTCAATAGCATCCAATTAAAATTTTTCGTCACGTAAACATTTTTCGAAAATTGATTTGAAGAATACAGCTTTGTAATTGTAATTTTGAGTTTTTCTCTGAAAAATATTCGAAAATAGAAAAGTTTATCTGAAAAGAATAATAGATTTTATAATTATATATATATAATTTCCTAATACTTTTATAAAAGATTTAATTTTTAATCTGGATCTTTCCCTGGAACGGAGCTTTCAGTAGCTAAAGCTTAACTCACAAAAATCAGGAATGCCTGTCACAATTTTTCTCCCTTTTTTTGTGCAAATCCACGTTTGTTTGAATGTGCGCCAGCTTAATTTGCAACGGACGATTCAAACGCGTTTCGGTGAGCTCTCCAATTAGCGCGACTTTCACTCGTCTGCAATCGAGTCAGCATTTCACCGGAGTTTCAGAATTTGAGACTTTGGATCGGAGTGTCGTTCAATAAAGGATTATGCATTTCGATCCTGATGAAGTATATGCGATCAGTTTTTCCAGACAAAAATATCCGCAAGAAATACATTCATTTTGTATAATATAAACTGACTATTTACTAATCAGCTTAACAACAGAAGAAAAAAGATAACGAATAATAAGAATAAATTTCCATGTATTTTTCTTCTTTTCTTCTTTTCTTTTTTCCGTCTAATTCCGACGTCTGTATTTACGCTATCTTTTTATATCTCATAACGTACATTTATACGTAGCTATAATTTTTTGTTAATATCTACTTTGTAAGTGTCACTTCCCTTTTGTATTTTAAGAAGATTGCTTGTCCCAGAACACGCAATATAAACTTTATTCCATTCTATCCTATCTTACATTATTCTGTCTTTTCTGTTGCTGTCCAGTGATCTCAGGGTCAACACGAAGTATCCTTTCAACCTTCGCCGGCAGCCTCGCGATAAGCGCGACGTAGTTTATTCCCCTCATCTTTGCGCAAATCGATTCTCATTGCGGGATCGCGCTCGCTGGACAACGAGTCCATAAACGTGACTAATAGCCTTCCCCCCCCCCTTCACTCCCTGATCCTCTCCCGGGATGTCGCGTCACCAGCCGTATTGAAACGCATCTGTATCCGCGAGCAGATGCACGCTCGTAACTTATGAGATATGGAAACGAGGTCCCGAAGCAGCTACTGGGGACAAAGGAGAAGACGGCTTTATCTCGTAACTTGACGATATTACCGTTCTTGACGAGATACAGAAATAAAAAGAGAAATAGAGAGAAAAGATTGCTCACGGGGTGTTTGGTAATATGTACGCTCGATGAACAAAAGTATGTTTTTATTTGATAAACCGTACTTAATTAAATGCGATATTCTCGTAGTGTTCGAAAGCAATTTTAAGATAATAAAATATTTCAAGGTTTTTATATAAATCTAACTATATCGTGCATTTCCAAGTCGAGTATTTTAAAAATTATATCAGAATAATAGGGATCGCTATTATTATTACGTTTTTCTCTTCAATTTCTCTGTTACTCCATTTAAATTTAATATCGTTACAGTTGAAGGTTCGGTGGTTTCGCTTTGAGACCACCACTGTGACATTCTCGTTCGAGCGAGGCCACCGCGCGTAAACTAGAATTTCAAAAAGATACTTTCGGTGAAACACCGGTGGCTGCCAGCCTCCAGAGGGTTAAGTTACAACAGAGCGCTTTATCGCGTGTCGATGGAATCGAGCGCGATTTAAAAGCGCGAGTGGTAAAGCGATACACGGATGACATGCAAAAAAAAAAAGAATACGGTCTCGTACACAAAGGATTTTATCGCGTGCAACAAACTGCGAGAATTGCAAACGATAATTCAAACGCGGAGCTATTTATCGAAAAACGTTAAATGCAAATCGATTTATTTGCGTGCCGAGGTATATCGGGAATGTACCGCTGTTTATTGAATAGCCGAAATTTTTGTTCGAGCTACATATATATAATAATAAATACGTTAATAAATCATATTAGGGATTCTTTTTACGCAAATTTCTTTGATTCCCGTTGAGATATGAGGAGTATTTTTGTCGTATTTTTCAGGCTTTTTGGAAAAACGATTTTTCCCACAGGCCGCACCATTTTTACGTCGCTTATCGCTGGAATCGTAACAATGACAGCGTCGGGTTCTGCGAGAGATAGAACGCGTTCGTAATGTCAAGCACAGCACAACGGACTCGTTCATACGTTCATACGTTCATTCGCTCGTTCGAGTATTGCGATCCATCAAGCGAACGTCACTTGGAAATTTTAATGCCCA